AGTCACCAGATCTCAACCCAATAGAGCATCTTTGGGGTGTGGAGGAACGGGAGCTTCGTAGCCAGGGTTGGTATCGCACAAATCTCCATCAACTGCAAGATGCTATCCTATCAATATGGGCCAACATTTCTAAAGAATGCTTTCAGCACCTTGTTGAATCAATGCCACGTAAAATTAAGGCAGTTCTGAAGGCGAAAGGGGGTCAAACACCATATTAGTATGGTGTTCCTAATAATCCTTTAGGTGAGTGTATATATACCGGCTTATTGGTCTTTTCTTGTAAAGGTCACGAGAATGTCCAAACATCATTGCAGAGACACGTGGTAGTGTAGTTCCACTGAGTGCTGGTGCTTCTGGATGCTATTATTTTATTATGATCTGAGGTTAATACTTCATATCTGTCGACGGATACGTAACAAATCTTACATGTATTGCTTATGTATGTGTGGGATATAGAGTCACATCAGCGCATTTTACGTAATGATTCTGCTTCAGTCAAGCCTTCATTCACAATATAATTCACAATAAACGGAAATGCTGGACTGCTACAGAGAAATACCTGTATGTAGGTATGTAGTAATACATGAAAAATTGAACTGAATGTGAGGGAGTCCCTATCACTGTACCTGCAGATGGCAGTGCAAGGCCTTTGTTCAGACAGCATGGGTCTTTCTACCGACATGAAAAAGGCGTTAGGTTTCAAGCCTAAAGTGGTCGTGGCGTCAGGTTTCTTGTTTATACTGCACCCCTAAGTGATATGTATGTCTCACAAATAGTAGAGACAAAGAAATAAAGGCTATCGTGAACATGCATGCACGCTTCTTTCTAATTCCCAGCTGATACAGTAAGCGCCGCTTAAGCAGCAGGAAAACACAGCGCGAGCTTCCCGCGGATTTAGTCCCGCTGCCAGTCTCGTGAAGAACAGGTGAAACGATTCAGTATATAGTTCGACCTGTTTTTTTTTAATCTTTTAACAAAAATTCCATTCCTAATATCACATAATTTAATAAAGGTGGAACAGCGCAAGGTTTTTTATTTAGTTGACAAGCGGCATGATTTTGCGCGATATTAGCTATTGTCAGTTATTTTTAGGACCATGACCTATATTTACTGGAATTGGAGACGGGTAGTTTGCCTGAACATGCATTGTTGGGGATGCTTCATCCTGAGGGCTGTTGGTCCAAATATTTAAGGGATGCTACACATTCAGCTATATTAGTAAATTCATATAGGATCTTTTATTTGACTCATAAACGATTATCTATGTCACCAAACCTCGCCTGCCATACCTGAGGTGAAGGCTTTGCAGTATTTGGTACAGGAACAGTAAGACCTCTTGATTACGCTGTACATGCAATTGTGTCAAGCGGCTAGTTGCTTTACCTTTTTTTCTGTTATGTGTTGTCAACATGAATTTCGTCTATAAAACAGTTATAATGGAGATAATGTGATGCATGTTATAGTGACAAAAACACAAACGATTGTCCATGAAAATTTTACAATATGCTTTATACGTCAACGAGCTCCAGGCAATTTAACATGAAAGTGCAAACTTACATGTATAATAAAGATTCACGGTAGTTAGAAAAAGGCTGTGACACTTTCTAATTCCCGGGTATTTATTTACAGTATGTAAACAACAAACCGTGAGACAAACTTGCTCACAAGTGACACAGTCTCTCTTCTTCCTTCTCGATTGCGATTATCTCTGTAGGAGTCATACCTTCGCACGTACGTAAGGTCTTCCTTAATGATGCAGCTGAGAGGCTAAATGAGACAAAGCACAGTGTTAACCATTGATATAGAGGCTTCCAGAGTACGTCTGAATTTCCCTGTCCTTTCCTGGTGCCACGCTGGAGGCAACCCATCCGATGTCCACCAGATGATCTGTCAAATCATGTTCTCCGTGGCTAGACAGCGCCATCGACAGGTTTGCCTGGAAAAATGTTAGTAACACGAGAATCCTTGTTCCAGCACTTAAAATGCAGTTTTTACGTCCAGTTTAAAGGCAGACCTGTGTTTTATGCAATGAAAAAACACGATAAGAATAATAATTGTTCACTTTCTCTTTGAAAGGCTTGTAGTTATTTGTACACTTTAAAGTCTTTTATACTCTATGTGTAATTTAAGATATAGTTCCAAACATATCTCTACTAAACCATATGAAATGAGGATATGAATGAAAGACAATTATATATATATATGGAAGTAATAATACAAAAGAGTTGGAATCAGGTAAGCATGTTGTAAACCTCAAAATGGCATACAGCATCCCCTTTCATTTCCTTGTGTATGTTACCACTTCAGCATTTACTATGCAAAAGGCATTTTTACATGGTAACAATACCCAGAGATATTTTAACATGTGCCTCTTTCCCGTATAAATTAAAAAGATCTAGTGAGTAAACATGAGGTTTGTGTATCTGTACAGTCATCGGTATATGTTATACATTTATCTGTCTTGTCCTCTTTTCTCATTGTGTTTTATTGAATGATGTCTGTGGTGGGTGACAGTGTGGGTAAGTCCCCTGGAAACCGGTTTTCCCTCCTTGGCTGTTGTAGCATCTCATCACAACTTGATTCCCGGTCCTGTGAAGCAAATGAATTTGCGGGACTGATCTTTGCTACATAAACACAGAACCTGCCACGCATGTCAAATGCATTCACCCATAGATAGCTTATTTTTCAGAGAGAGAGACTGACAAGAGTGGGATCGTCACCATAAAGGACACCCTGACTTTCCACATTGTCACTGATTACTGCACAGTCCCTGTCACCCGCGTGGGTCATTCAGTAATGCGATGGGGCGGGGGAGGGGAGTGGCCTTTGGGGATATTAACAAATCACAGACTTTAGTTTTCACTATTCCAGCAAGTTAACAATACCACATGAGAGAAAAAGACTTTTATACAAAACTGAAGAACATTTAAGGAACTGGGGAAGTTTCCTTTTGAAGGTTTTTTCCTGAAATACCAAAGTTATTGCTGGGGATGAGACGGTGGTAGCATTCGTTAAACTGTCGTCAGGGGAACAGAGCCGAAGAAGCTTCCATCTCCTTCCAGAAAACCGCTGAGACGTGCTGTGGTCCTCGGTGACATGGGCCATGGGGACGGTGTCCGCTGCAGTGTCTAGCCAAGAGACTGCCTCGTCCTTCCTCTGCGTGATCGCCGGAGTTCCTTGGAAGGATGGTGAGGCCTGGTTGAGCGGTGTCCCCCACACGTGTGCTTGTGTGAGGATACGTGGGAATGTGGGTGTGTCCCAAAATGCTGGTAACGGGGGAGAAGCCGTGGAAGGATTCAATAGTTCTTAATACTTACATTTAAAAAGTGCCACCCCACCCCAGCGTGTGCGGGGACTGTCCACGTGTAATGCTTTTTTGACGAAATCACAGACAGGCCACGTCACACCGAAGTTGGCCCCTCCTGCGGGTTATGAACCTGCGACAGGGGTGCCACTGTCTTTCCCTCGCTCTGTGCTTGAGTCCTTGTCTGGCAGGGGGGCCGCCGCTGCCCCGCCCTCCCCTGGAGACGCCTGCCCGCTGGCCGCCTGGCCGGATGCTTTGCCGCCTCCATCTGCCGCCACCTCCGGCTCCGATTCCTGTTGCGAGGCCGCCGCTGAGGATGAGGGAGCTCAAGGTTAGATACAGGGCCAGAGTCATAGAGACACAGTGCAGAGCCACTGACTCTGACCCGTACAGTGCAGACTCTCACCAATGGGGGTGGGGGGTGGGGGGTGGGGGTGTGTGCACATGACAGTGTGTGTCATACTCACTGTGCGACTGTACAAAGCTACAGAATGTTTTGCTGTCATTCTAATGGCTGTTTGTGTGATTCTATCTTAACATTAATGTTAAAGTATTAAAATCGCAGTGGGATGTAAAGCTGCCCCACGATAACATGGGGACACGCGTGTGCATATGCGTGTGTGCCAGGGCAGGTACCTGACTGCGTGCAGGACTTCATGTGCTCCGGCCAGTGTGCCTGCTGGCAGGGGTAGTCGCAGTAGCTGGTGTTCCAGCAGCAGTAGAAGATGGCCTCCTTCTTGCAGCTGGCGCACCACTGCTTCTTCTTGGTCTCGTCCACGGCCTGCTGTCTCTCCAGCTCCATCTGCTTCTTCACCTCCGCCACGAGCCGCTCGCGCTCCTGCTCCAGGCTCTGCCGCATCTCAGCCATGGTGAGCTCTGGTGTGTGCACACACACACACGTTTGTATTCATATCATCGTGGCGACCGTGCATTCATTTCTTTGGGCATAAGCCTAATCCCACCAATGACAACCTTAACCTCTACACAGCCCTAACTTTATCCATAAGTAACCAAACAAAATACAAGACTTTTGGCATTTTTAGCTATTTCATTGTCACAGATTTTTATAAAATTGAGCTTCCCCTTGTGGGGACTGAAAAAATGGCCAAAATATAATACATATGCATACATTACCCACATACTCAAACACATACACAGTGTACATATTCATATTTATGGGGACTCTCCATTCATTTCCTAATCCCACTAATGACAACCTTAACCCCTACCCAGCCCTAAACTTCGCCAAAATTAGCCATTTTTAGTTTTTTTGATTGCAGTCACAGACTTTCATTAAATTTTTTTTATCACATTGTGGGGACACTTGGTTCGCATAACATTATTATACATGCACACACACACAGACACACACACAGATGTGTGGTCCTTTAACAAGTAACCTGTGATCTATTTTATTCTTAAGACATAGGAATCAAGCCCAGTTTTGCTGAGCATTTTCTGGTGGCTTTGCTAGGAACTGTAGAAAGTAACGTACCGAGGTTATGCTTCATCTCGGACAGCTCCTGCTGATGTAACCACTGTAATTTTTCAATTTCGATCCTCAAGCGCCGGATCTGTAGATAGGATTAGATTGGAGCAGGAGCAGTTTAGTCGGCGTCATGCATTAAAACAGTACACAAAGTTCATGGGCCAGATTCCCACTGACCTGACACTTAGGGACGGGTTTGTCACTGGTGGGGCCCCAATCAGAAAGTCACTTTGGGGATATGATCACTTCATTGCTGCATGCAGAGGTCTGCACTCTCGCGGGACCCGCGGCAATAGAGTGCGCCGCGAGACAGATTTTCATTTCTGAATGCGGGAGCGGGACAATTGAAATGACTCGTGGGATCCCGCAAAAAGAATAAAATTTAATTTAAATAAGTATTGCGCAGATATTTTTTGTGTTAAATTATTATTGTTATTCATGTTTGTGAGTGTACAGAAAGTTACACTTAAAAATTCACTGAATAAAACCCAAAATAGACTAATATGTCTAATTTAGGTTTTACACAGTCGGCCTATCCTGCAACTTCCATAAAGAACTCCTTCATCACTCTCTTGGCGGTCGGCTAATGATGGCAGAGCCAGGACAAAATTTTTTAGCACCTAAGGATGTAAATTGCAGTTTAAGGAAAGGTAATTATCCAACTATTAATCCAATTAAGGGAAAATCGGATATTTGACAGCTGTTTTCCACTGTCAGTGATGATAATGGCCCATTGTGACAAATGCAACAAAGTGTTACCATACACTGAGTACAAGCCTGGCACTTCAGGGCTAAAATGGCATGTGCGTTCAGTATTGAAGGGGCAGACTACACTGACATCCATGATATTCATGGCAAGTGCCAAGTGCAACTAAATCAAAAGTGACAACTGCACTAAAACATGAAACGACACACAAATGTGTGGATTTTGTTTGTGCTGATCTAGCACCTTTTGACACCGTCCATGGCCCGGGGTCCCTTTAACACAGCACCTTGCTGGCACAGCAGCCAGAAAGGAAAGTATATTTGTTGAGTCTATATGTTTGTTTTTATTCTTAAGCTGAAATGAAACATAGTCAAACAAAACATATTTTTTCTTTGCAGTAGGATGAGACTTATAAGATATGGGTGGGAGTGGGAGCGAAATGTGACAAGCTTCCGTGGGAGCACAACAGAATCTTGTGGGTGGGGGCAGGAGTGGGATTTAAAATTCCATCCCACGCAGACCTCTACTTGCATGTGACATTACAGTTAGCTAGCTAGCGAGTGAGTAGAGTTAGATCACAGCTAGCTAGCTGGTTAGCAAAACATATTGCTTTACCATCTACTAAATAAGGAATGTGTTTAACATGTAGTGTACTGACTGTTTGTGGCCAATAGGGGGCGGTGATAAACAGTGCCGCTGCCGACGCTCACCTCAGCGATAGTGTTTCCTGATGTGCTTTTCGACAGGTCGTTGTACATCTCCGTCATTGTCCCTTTAATGGCGTCCATTATCTGAAAAGCAGATTTCTGACGTCAGAGATTTGTAGCTCGGCACTTGGGGACGCAGTGGTTAGGAAAGCAGACGGCTCCCGTGAATATTCCTCACGTCCATGATCAGAATGATCCTGTGATGGAGTGGTGGCTCTGAGGCTAGGGATCTGTGCCAGCAACTGGAAGGTTAAATCCTGTAAATGCCCAGAGTGATTCTATTCTGTTGGGCCCTTGAGCAAGGCCCTTAACCTGCCATTGCTTCATCCTGGGTATGACATCAACCTACATCCACCCAAAATAAGGAAGTCCTCCTACTTACAGGGATTAACTTTGGGGTTGGTGGCAGGATTGGCACTCCAGCTACCGGAAAAACCTCACACTGGTCCTTCAGACCACACTGGTCCACCACATGGCTGCAGTCAGGTTCTCATCCCTGAGCTGGTTTGCCGTGTGGTGGGTGTGGTAACACACTGTAATCAGTGCACGGTCCTTACCTCTAGCTCTCATGATCGGAAGCCACTCACCTTGGTGGTGTACTTGGCTATGTCAGCCGCTATGTCGGCCGAGGTAGTGGCGATCTGGAAGTCTCCAGTGGTCGAGGACGAGAGCGACGAGGGGCTGCTAGCAGAGACAGCGGGGGCTGCGCTCGCGGGGATGGCTGGAGCTGCTGTCACTAGGGGCACCACTGAGCTGGACGTGCCCTGGGGGGAGTCCTTCTGTTGGACAGCTGGCATCATTATAAAAACACAGAGAGTATTAATGGCCACTGTGGCAAAGGTGATTGGACATTCAAACATTCTCTCCAATGTGGTACATTTCAGCTGTGGGGTGGAAAGTGAGCTGGTTATAGTGCATTATTATTTAAGGGTCGCTTATGGTGAGTGTTACTGCACCGTGCTGACTCATGCACTACAGCACATGGGACAGAGTCTCTAAGGTAAAGCGCCTTCAAGCAATAACTTGAGCCCCCATGGCCCGCAGGGTCAGTGTGCAGTCCTCTATACCTAGGTGTGAGACCGAAAGTTTTAGTGCACCTCACTGACAACCCCCCACAAACATCCGCCTAGGGAGACACACCTTTCACGGCCTGCCGCGTCTGGTATCTCGTGCTTGCGGAAGACGGCTGTAGCGCTGATGATGGGCTCTGCGCCTGCGTCTGAGCAGCCGGCTGCTGGCTCTGCTGCTGCCTCTGTACCCTCTGCATGTGCCACTTCTGCGAGGATGTCTGGAACTTGCCAGTGGCGTTCCAGACCACAGCACGCTGCACCACGGGGGCGGTCTCGCGGGGCAGCAGGGGGCGCTGCTTCTTCACAGGCGCGGCGGTGGTTGTGGGCGTCGTGCTGGGTGCGGCTCCGGGCAGCAGGGGTGCGGCTGGTCCCGGAGCAAAGGACACCATGCTGAGTGGGACGGCGACCGGTGATTGAGCGGGGTCCTTCACGCTGGGTGTCGAGGGGGTGGAGTCGGATGGAGGAGGAGCGGTCACACTGGAAGGCGCTGTAGATTTAGCTAAAATCAGAATAACAACACTGTAAATTGGTCGTGGCCAACAGCCATCAACAGTTCCTTCTACTTAACATTTCATTAGCTCTGCGGACGGCTCATGAGCAGCTCATTGGGCGACACGGTGGCTCATTGGGTGGCGCAGCAGCTCATTGGGTGGCACAGCAGCTCATTGGGCAGCATGGCAGCTCATTGGGTAGCACAGCAGCTCATTGGGCAGCTCATTGGG